AATTATTTGTCAAGTCTAGAGGTGTGGTCTGATTGTGCAGACATCAATGTGATGCATTTTCATTGTGCAGGTATCAGTGAGCTGTAGTGTGATTGTGCAGGTATCAATGAGCTGTTGTCTTACTATGGAGATATTAATGAGTTGTGGTCTGATTATAGTGATATCACAAGTTGTGGTCTGACTGCAGGTACAAACAAGATGTACTCTTGATTGTGCAGGAATAAGCCCTGTAGTCCTTCCTGTTGGCAATTGTTGATTGCATCCATATTTGTTTTCCATGCCTTAGTGCTAGCTTGTTCATCATAGAGGGGTTTACACTAAATGTTACATCCAACTCATGCTCATTCAGAGTTTATGGTGATGCAGAAATGTGCTTCCAAGCACACATGCACACACACACACACACACACACACTGTACAGAATGGACTCAGAAAAGGATATGTTAGGTCCTGAGGGACACATTACAATACTCTTGACAAGAAATGCACACCGTGAAGATCTGGGTTAGAATGGGTCTTCAGTAACCCATGCTTGTCGTAAGAGGCGATTAATGAGATGGGGTGGTCAGGTTTGCTGACTTTGATGACACATATCATCGTATCCCAATTGCATAGATCCATTCTCATGATGTTTATCACTGGATTGTCTGGTCCAGACTCGATTATTTACAGACCGCCACCATATAGCTGGAATATTGCTGAGTGCAGCATTTAACAACAATAAACAAAAGACAAGAAATACCATATTCCTGTGATTCAGATCCAAGATATACTCTTATGTTTTCATTACTTTACAGCACAGACTGTCATGTTTTCTTGGAGTGCCATTGAATTCAGTATTTGTAAGTCAATGTTTTGACCATGATGAAAGACAAATTAGAAATTGCTGAAATATTTCTGTATTTTAGACCCCTCATGTTATGTCCCCGCTGTTCTTGAAAACCAAAACATATATTGTTGAAATGTTTGGTAATAATCACACTGCATACCATCCACAGTATGATCCTGATTTGACCATATTCCGTGCCATTCTTGGAGTTCTGCGATCAATATCTTATTATTTTCCTTCAGGACTTTGACAAGAGATGTTTAAATCAAATTTGGGACAAAATTGGATATGTTTCATGTCCAGAAACATTGACACAATAAATCAATTGGTTAATAAGAAATTGAACAGATTGTCCAAATTTGGAGAGACAGATGTAAAACGTTGATCAAACGCCTGCAAGAATCATATCTGATCTTCGTACCAAACTCAATTCCTTGCTGTTTTAACTTCTTTAATGTACTGGCAGTTGAAGATGAAAAATCAATTAAAAACGATGATAGTTTCTGTTTCAAGGTGCACGAGAAGCAACAGTAAATAAGGAGAAAATCAATGGAGAAATTAGTACCTCCCTGACCTAGTTGTTGCTGGGAGTTCAGTGAGAGTCAAAGTCTGAATGTATTGGCATTGTATTGAATAATCAATTCTTATGATGTACTCTGATATAATGAACTGAACTTTGTTGTCTTGTTACTTGGGAGCATCATGTGCCCACAGTACCCTGTACACGCTCACTCACTCAGAACAAATCTAACTCACTCACTCACGCAGAACAAATCACACTCACTCAGAACAAAACCCACTTACTCAGAACAAATCTCACTCACTCACTCACTCAGAACTAACTCACTCAGAACAAATCTACTCACTCACTCAGAACAAAATCACACTCATTCACTCAGAACAGAAAAACCACTTACTCAGAACAAATCTCACTCACTCACTCAGAACAATTCTCTTCTACTCTCTCACTCAGAACAAACTCACTTACTCAGAATCAGAACAAATCTCACTCACTCAGAACTCACTCACCAGAACAAATCTCACTCAGAACAATCTCTCTCACACCACTCAGAACAACTCTCACTCTCACACTCACTCCTCAGAACAAATCTCACTTACTCAGAATCAGAACAAACTCCACTCAGAATCAGAACAAATCTCACTTACTCAGAACAAATCTCACTCACTCACTCAGAACAAATCTCACTCAGTGCAATTTTCTTTTACTCTCTCACTCACTCAGAACAAATCTCACTTACTCAGAATCAGAACAAATCTCACTTACTCAGAACAAATCACACTCACTCAGAACAAATCTCACTTACACACACTCAGAACAAATCACACTCACTCACTCAGAACAAATCTCTCACTCACTCACTCACCCAATTGAAATTAAGAGTTCTGGGATCTGTGAGGTTTTCTCAGTTCAGGTTTCGGGTTTCCTCCAGCAAAACATGACCCTATTCACATAAAACATTCAACTTGAAAGCTACAACAAGGACCTCAGGCTTGAAGCTTTATTTTGGACAGTTCCATCCACTAGTTTCCTTGATTATTTACAACCCAACATGATAATGCTGAAATGGTCATGATATCTGCTGGAGTAATGCCATGGTTATCAACTTCCAGTCACTTTGGTTTGTGGGTTACTGATACAGATTGATGAAAGAGTGGAAAGATTGGAGGGTTTATTGTACAATTGTAAACAAAAGTCACTGTGTTCTTTAATCAGGCATTGGATGGTATTGATTCCCAGAAATTCGATGCGTATTAATACATTCAAACATACTGTATTGATTCAAATCATATTGTGACATAAAGTCGAATGGCGTCACAAATGAGCAGTTCAGATGCTACCATGAGAGACTGATGACATTTCACTGGTTATATACGATGTCAATTGCAGACACAAAAACGTGTGTGGACATGTTTAATGTGTTTACAATGCGAAATTGAGCTGATGTCTGTCTCCTAATTCATGTCTAAATTATATATGTTGAAAACATGAATGGCAAGCTTGAGTTGTGTTCATTATTTAAACTTGGGACCCTGGAAGCCAGGGCTGTCAACCTGAATCAGTGTCAGTTAGCATGGTGAAAGGTATTCATTGTAAGGCAGCTTGTGACTGAAATATCGGATTCAGCTTGTCTTTGCTGACTGGGTGCCCACTTTCTTGTCCATCTTATTAGCCTAGATTTTCACTCTGGACACTGGGGCAGTGGGGTAGCCTAGTGGTTAAAGCGTTTGCTAATCACATCAAAGGCCTGGGTTCAATTCCCCACATGGGTAAAATGTGTTAAGCCCCTTTCTGGTGTCTTCCGCCGTGATATTGATGGAATATTGCTAAAAGCAGTGTAAAACTAAACTCATTCTAGGGACTAGTTAAAACTTTAGCTTGGCTTTTAGCATCACTGTATGTAGAATTTTGTTTATCATATCTCTGGTGTTACATTTTCAATTGCCTTGGGTGCAGCTCATTTGCAGTTGTAATGAACAATAGTATATAATCACTGACTGTTACTTTTTATGTAATGCATATGCATGGGCTAAACAACTGGTTCCATTTAGGTGTGTGTTTTTGGTAGCTTTTCCCTTCACCTTCTATTTTGTACTCTTCATGTGGTTGTCAATATTTCCAGATAGCATCCAATCAGTGACGTTGGTGGCGTGTTCTGTCACAGTTAACTACATCATGTACCTACCCAGACCTTTTGAAACTTGTTGGCATACGTTCGTGTGTGACACATTACGTACTTAGGTGCCCTTTCAATAATGATGCTATAATTACTGTTATTAGTTCAGCTTACAAGGTTAAATAGAATTTTATCACAGTGTTTTCAGACTAGTAGCTAAAGACTAGGACTTAAAATTCGATTTGAAATATGAAATAAACCATATCTCTTCATGAATATCATTCATAATTCAGATTCACAAAAATCGAATAATTATGATTTTTTTAAATAAAAGGGTGTACTTAAGACTTTTCTTTTCCTTATCAGAGTAAGATATGCAACGTGGAACATAAACAAACCATACAGTAGTGTTACTTCAGTAGTTTAGTAGTGATTTGCCAAGGCCCCATCGTGTTGTTGTCAACCAAAACATAAGGCGATGAGTGCCATTGTTGTGATGAATTGCTTGTTGGCTTTACAAAAAATATCATTGAAATGTTTCAAGCTCAAACTGCAAACTTGCCTTGTTCATAGATTCTTGTCACCAACTACATACAGAATATTCCAAATATTGAATGTATACAGCGGTATAGTTGTACCTTATTGAATTCTTCCATCTGTCCACTAAATGATTTTGAAACATTTATCTTTTAATGACTTCGGACATTAGATTAATCAGTGTTATTAATTAAGAATGAAATTTAAGGGGTCCTTCGCATAACTCCTCTGATGTTGAAAGTCTGGGGTTCCAGGGCCATGCAGATTAAACAGCAAATCTCAAGGACCTTGTACACCCTTAAGTTTGATCACTGTAAGTCTAAGTAGGGGCTGTTCTGTTGCCAAGACTGGCCCTGAACATGGATATGGGGTGATTCTCTTGTTGAGTCCCGGGTGACATGTTACAATCAATCCAATCAATTTCTGACTTTGGAAGTCATGTTAGGAACTGAATACTTGCTCTAATGGATTGCATGCATTCATATATTCACATGTCAGCACTCTTGAGATTGAATGTTTGATTAATTGGTCTCAAAATAATAAACTGGTGGATGCAGAGTGTCTGACATGACGACAACCATGGTTATGTTTTATGTGTGTCATGATCATATATGGCACTGTCACCATGGCAACCTGATGTATGTTGATCAGTTCACTGACAGTTCCTCACTGTTATGATGTTGTCAATGCAGACAGCTCTGACATGAACTGTTATTATCAGTAAGACTTATAGATATCAGGGATAACAAGATTGATGGCTCGGAATACTGCAGTTAGAAACACGATGGAACGGATGGTCAACTTCAGCCATTACATATTATCCTACCCCTATGCCGAGTACAAATGTCAATCACTGGATTATCTGGTCTGTCTGGTCTTCTGGTCACTATTCTTCTGGAATGTAGATGCGTGTGACATTGAAATAATGAAATTATTAATGTGTTATTTACAATAGGCTGCCTGGTTGTAAATGTTTGCAATTGCTTGTTTGATTTCAGGACCATTCACAGATGTAGTGACAGCTGATTTGAAACTTAAGAATCCATCAGACAAGAAAGTATGTTTCAAGGTAAAGACAACAGCACCCAAGAGGTACTGTGTCAGGCCAAACAGTGGTATCATCGAGCCAGGTCTCGCGTTACAGTGGCAGGTAAGAAGAGCATAGTTACTACAATAAACATAAGTATATGCAGTATGGGTTATCTCCCCTTGAGTAAGGTCAGATTGGTAGTAACATTAGTGTATCAAACAAAGACACAATAATAACTTGTGCAAAGTGTGTAAAGTGATGCTCACCAGCTTCTGTGGTAGAGAGATTAGTGATCGTCATATGATTGTGATATGGTAACCTATGATGTCATAATGGTCTGTGAAGCATTGTGGTGTAATTTCATTGTGGCAGTATCTTCTTGGTGATACTGCTTGATCTGGCTCAAGTCAGTACGTACAAATACATGCTTCCTGCTCAGCAGTCTATTTCTCACGACCTTTTTGTTCGTGTTATTTCAGTAATGTTACAGCCATTCGAATATGACCCAACGGAGAAGAACAGGCACAAGTTTATGGTCCAAACAATGTTTGCTCCAGACAGCAAAGTGGACAGTCTAGAACAATTGGTAAGATTTACACTCTAGTGTTGTTATCGCTGATAATGTGACAGGAATTCCTTGCCAGCTGTGATCAGCAGGGGGATTACAGACAGCGAACACCTTGCTGGACATCTCCTTTGGGTTGTGTAGATCTAGCATGTCTCACTGTCCCTTGAACTGCAGTATTTCACTTCCATCCAGCCTTTTCTGCTAAGGAAGTCTAGATTTCCTCAGCTTCAGAATCTCCCATCTCACTGGGGCTCCTTTTCAATTGAAATGAAATTATTTGTTTCTGTCAAAATTATATATATTCAGACACCAAGCATCAGTCTAGTGTAGATCCTGCTCTAGGACGTGAGAGATACACTGAGGATTTAGACATATCTGTTCGGCCTCACTGTAGAAGTGACCCATGAAAGTCCGGGTTAGAATGAGCCTTCAGTAACCCATGCTTGTCGTAAGAGGCAACTAATGGGATCGGGTGGTCAGGCTCGCTGGCTTGGTTGGCACATGTCATCGGTTCCCAATTGCACAGATCGATGCTCATGCTCTTGACCACTGGATTGTCTGGTCCAGACTCGATTATTTACAGACCGCCGCCATATGGCTGGAATATTGCAGAGTGCTGCGTAAAACCAAACTCACTCACTCCTTCACTGTAGAAGTACTGGGCTTTTTGAGGCTGTAGTGAATATTGGAGTATTTCCCATGGTGTAGAAATACTGGGCTTTATAGGGTATGTCATGATTATCAGAATCTTCTGACTAGCTGTTGAAATACTGGGCATTTGTGAGGATTTGTTACTCTTGACAGGAAAATATTGAGTAGGTCCAGATTATACTTGAGGAATTAGACTTAAACAGATATGTCTATTACATGATTCAATGAAGACAATTTAGCCCAATAATATTTTTAAGTGTTTTCATTTCAGAGACTATTCATTGTTGATGTAGTCAGCATGGTCAGCAAATATGATAAATATGAAAATATTTATTCTTCAAAACTGAATTATTAATTATTATTTTTTTTCAGTTTACGAATGTACAATTTACGATGAAATGTTTGTTGTCAGTATTAATCTACAGTGTGTAGCCACAGAGCCATTTTTCATGAGGATGGTTTAACCTTGAAATTGTTCGAACAGCAAGATCTTGAGCATAAGTCTGTGGTCATCTGAGACACGTTTATTGCAGAAAAGACAGACAGGCCAATCCAGTAATGAACGGAATCATGCCAGTACATTTCTCTTTCTGTACAGCCAACTGTATTACTTGTCCAATTGGCTGAAGAGGCACCTGTCGAATGTTGCAACATGGAGGCGAAAATCAATAAGAAATGGTGGTATGGTTGGCGCTGGAACTATGTTAGGAGAATGCAAGGAGAAACATTCGTCTCTCTGTTCTGACAACCTTGTCATGGGTGATGTTGGAGCAGGTTGAGGGCAGGATGACAGAGAGAACCCTGATGTCATGGAGATGAGGCCAATGTCTATTACTGTCGTGACCAACGTGATCCAGAAAAGGATCTGTCTCATTATTTTGGGAGGACTCTCAGTGTCACATTATGTTGTGTTACGTGATGTAAACTAAAATTCGGCTGTTGCATGATGTGAACGGAAAAGATTCATTGACTTGGTTGACACATGTCATCATATCCAAATTGCGTTGATTGATGCTCATGCTTTTGATCACAGGATTCTCTAGTCCACATTTGATTATTATCAGAATGCTGTCATATAGCTTGAATATTGCCGAATGCAGCATTAAACAACAAACATACAAAATCCTTGTCTGTGTCCCATTTGGGATATAAAATATTTCTTTATGGTGCTGTTAACATTGTTAGCATGATGAATATCTTTCCTGACAGGCTGTATATATGTAGAATTTTAGCTGTGGATGTCATGTATGTTTTGAAAGTCATCATTTCACCCCTACTTTGTGATAATGATGATAAAAATTGATAAAAGAGTGAGACTAGTTTTATTGACTGGTTCCCATATGAACCAGTTGTTTCTTGCCATGGACTGGTTCCCATATGAACCAGTTGTTCCTTGCCATTGACTGGTTCCCATTTGAACCAGTTGTTTCTTGCCATTGACTGGTTCCCATATGAACCAGTTGTTTCTTGCCATTGACTGGTTCCCATTGAACCATTGACTGGTTCCCATATGAACCAGTTGTTTCTTACCATTGACTGGTTCCCATATGAACCAGTTGTTTCTGGCCATTGACTGGTTCCCATATGAACCAGTTGTTGAACCAGTTGTTTTGATGACTGGTTCCCTTGAACCATTGATTGACTGGTTCCCATATGAACCAGTTGTTTCTTGCCATTGACTGGTTCCCATATGAACCAGTTGTTTCTTGCCATTGACTGGTTCCCATATGAACCAGTTGTTCCTTGCCATTGACTGGTTCCCATATGAACCAGTTGTTTCTTGAACCATTGACTGCCATTGTTCCCATATGAACCAGTTGTTTCTTGCCATTGACTGGTTCCCATATGAACCAGTTGTTTCTGGCCATTGACTGGTTCCCATATGAACCAGTTGTTTCTGGCCATTGACTGGTTCCCATATGAACCAGTTGTATTGACTGGTTCCCATATGAACCAGTTGTTTCTTGCCATTGACTGGTTCCCATATGAACCAGTTGTTTCTTGGCCATTGACTGGGTTCCCATTGAACCCTTACCATTGACTGGTTCCCATATGAACCAGTTGTTTCCTTGAACCATGCCATTGACTGGTTCCCATATGAACCAGTTGTTTCTTGCCATTGACTGGTTCCCATATGAACCAGTTGTTTCTGGCCATTGACTGGTTCCCATATGAACCAGTTGTTTCTGGCCATTGACTGGTTCCCATATGAACCAGTTGTTCCTTGCCATTGACTGGTTCCCATATGAACCAGTTGTTTCTTGCCATTGACTGGTTCCCATATGAACCAGTTGTTTCTTGCCATTGACTGGTTCTCATATGAACCAGTTGTTTCTTGCCATTGACTGGTTCCCATATGAACCAGTTGTTTCTGGCCATTGACTGGTTCCCATATGAACCAGTTGTTTCTTGCCATTGACTGGTTCCCATATGAACCAGTTGTTTCTGGCCATTGACTGGTTCCCATATGAACCAGTTGTTTCTTGCCATTGACTGGTTCCCATATGAACCAGTTGTTTCTGACCATTGACTGGTTCTCATATGAACCAATTGTTTCTTGCCATTGACTGGTTCCCATATGAACCAGTTGTTCCTTGCCAGATTGTCCATGTCAGTGTTAAGTGGAGATAATTGCACCACTGTTGCATAACCAGTACAATGAGGTAAGGGTCAACCTTTGATATGTGTTAATGTTATCATTGATTAGCCTCAGCTCAGCTTGTGGTGGAGGTTGGACGTAATGTTACCAGTGTTTCCTATCAAGGATGAGCACCAATTAGTGATACATTGTACTGATGAGGGCCAGTGAGGTGGTGTAGTGGTGAAAGCATTGTTCATGATGAAGTACATGGTTTGTTCATTTCTTTAGCCTTGTGGTTAATGTGTTCACTCACCACACCAAAGACCTGGGTTTGATTCCCCACATGGGTATAATGTGTGAAGCCCATTTCTGATGTCCCCTGCCATGATATAGCTGGAATATTGCTAGAAGCAGCATAATACATTTCTCACTCACTTATGATAATCTAGACTCACTTCCTTGTTACTCTACATATGTATAAAGTGTGATGCCTATTTCTTGTGTCCTGTTCTGTGATATCGCTGAAACATGCTGATAAAAGGAATAAAACAACAAATCATAGAAGTTGGAATTTACTATTTATCAGCAGTAGGCATTGTACATGCTGTAAAATGAATGTGAGTGTGTACTGCAGTCTTAGAAGATAAAACACATGGAACTGGATCCAGTAAATCTCTTGGTGTTTCCTCTGTTTCATAATGATAAGTGGTTATTGTATCACAATCACATGCAAGATGCAGCATCTCTCTTCATTCAGCACAAACATCACAGCTGATCATTCATGTGACAATCACAGACTCTCACAGCTGGAACAAGATATGATGTAAGAGGATTTGCTGTCAAGAGCTGCCCAACTATTTTTGGTATTTGGATCAGCTAGACATGGATATGCTAATTCATCCTCTTAGGGATGTTTTAAAGTCAACATCCTACAGCTGGTCATGCTGGCCTTTGAGGGGAACAATCTTCCTTAGGAACAAGAACCTGCTGCAGTAGACTAAGTCTCTCAAATGAACATATTGTAACAATATGAAACAAGGACAGACTGCTGGCTCAGAGTCAGCATGCTATGAGTGGAGTAGTCATGTTAAAACTGTGGCATGGTATTTCAGGGGTCTGGTTCTATAAAACCAGTGTTTTCAAACTATTATTAGTACTGGCTTAAGCATCAAGCTTTATTTGACCTCATCTGTCATGACGCTCAGAGTGATTGTGGAAGTTGGTGTGATTAATGGTTTGCAGTTAAATAAGTAGGGAGTATTTCTTTTGATTGTGTGATGTGAACCATGACAAGGTGTACAGACTTCAGTCATGCAAGTACCTGTAATTACTGCTGACTCAGCTTTTGATTTTTACTCTCAGTGTTGAGAATTTATGCAGGTCCTGGGGTCCTTCATGTTTGCTCCAATGTTATTTGAATACAGGACACCTCACATGTTTATGTTTTAACATTAGAGCTCTTTCAGGGACCTCATGGCATTCATGCTTAGTTTGAAAGACTTCACTCACTCACAAACAGCTGAAGGATGTATTTCCCATAAATCCAGAAATATTAACCTCACCTATACTTGAAAAAATTTAAACATATGCATTAGAATCAATACCATTTCTTGAAAACATTGAAACAGTGAGTTTAGTTTAATGCTACTTTTTGCAATATTCCAGCAATATCATGGAGGTTAGACATCAGATAAGCCCACACAAAGCTGTGCAGAGACACATTGTGGAACACTTCCTGGTTGTGTTCACCAAGATAGGATTTTCCTGCTGCTATCATCTGCGCATA